AATTGGCTCAAAGAGAGAAGTGGCCCATCTTGTTATGTACTATCATTGGTTAAGAGGAATGCAAAAGGAAAACAGCATGTCCGCCTAGTTAGCGGATAATGTAATAGAAGAAAATAAAAGTTGATATATTTACACTTACGTTTCCTCCTCGGACTTTCTCGTTCGCTGACCTCACAGCATCAATGCGCTTGGCTAAAGTTTCTGTCTGCCGTACTCCCTTCGAGGAAGACATGAAAACTGCACTTTCGACCCTTTCTGGCTCTTCAGGCTTGGTTCCCAGCTCCTCTGCAGACATGCCATACGCTTTGGGACCTTTAAAACTGAAACCCAGGTAAAAGTAGACCTTTTTCTGCCACAGATCTTGTTTACGAACTCTGTATGCAGTTGGGATTTCGAGCTGCAGTTTGTTGCCATCTCTGGTAACTACAGTATATATCACAATGTCCCCACCATATTTGAGCACACCTTTAAGGAGTCGCAGAATCTCTCTCACTCCTAGAAGATTCCACTTTTCACTTATTGAGTGGCAACAGTCCATCATGCTCAGTGACTCTTGGTTGACAAAGTCCCGAGGTGGAAGTCCATTTCCAAGAAAAAATAGAGTAGTCTCTTTTCTCATTCGCACCATTTCTTCTTGGTTGTGCTTTGGGTAGTTCTTCTTGAAGGCATCTTGCCATTTCCTGAAAGCCTTCTGCAGATCATACACAGGACAGAGGTTGTACACTTGCCGTTCTTCGGTTGGAAAGTGGTACAAACCTAAGTAGAGATAACTTTCCAGGTATGAACGGTCATTCTTCACAGAAAGAGTTTTGTCAATATCATACAAATTGCGGCTCCAAGTCAGAATATTTTCATATGTCAGGTCACGTAGACAAATTTTACTCACAATCAAAGTTGTGATGCTGTCCAGGATTGTTCTCAGGTAATCAGGAGTCTTCAATTCTTGGATATTTTCATACATAAGTTCATAGACCTTTAAAATGTTTTGCTCACCCTCCTTGCCATTTCTCACAGTTCTCAACTGAAGGTTCAAAGAAGTTCCACCAAGGTTCCTGGCTCTCCTCCACCTGTATTCACATTTATCTTTGCCTCTCAATCCTTTTGGTATGGCATCTTTAGATTCTCCAAAATATTCATCCAAATTCACCTTCAGGTGTACCAGTGTGTCCCTGTTCATGTCAAATGATTGTCCAGCAAAGTTGAGGCTCACACTACCCTTCATTTGCAAAAGTTCTTCATCCAGGCGACGCATAGCTGCTTTTACCCCTTGCTGCAAGTTCTTTAAGAAGCGTCTGTCTTCCTCACAAATGAAATTCAAATGTGGAGGGTTGAATTCTTGAAACACAAGGAAGTGATGAAGATCGTCACCTCTTTGAAAAGAGGGCGATAAGCGTAAGGCACTCAACAGCACCAAAATTGCTCTAAGTTCTCCAAAATAGCCAGCAAAGTTAATTTCTCCTAATTTTGTTACTTCTATCTCACTTTTTGATTGTTCCTCCTTAAAATGATGAAGGCATTTTTGAGCCAACTGTATCAACTCATGAATCTCAGCATCTTTAAAGCCATCTCCATCCAGAGCTTTTTCCTGTGAAATTTTGTCCACAAGCTGACTCTTGAATACTTGTCCATAGGTGTCCCACAGAAATGAGTTACTGGGAAGCATGCTAGTTGCTATATCTGCAAATTCCCGTGCTTTTAGCCAATTCTTGACATCAATGTAGAACCTGGCGATAAGCTGAGCAGTAAATGGGTCTTGATTTAAGTCAAACAATTGCTGCAACACAGAGACAGCCACCTCTGAGCCCTCCTGATCCTGAACAGCCAAAATAAATTTGGAAAATTTATACTGACGGCCATTTTCTTTAAACTCCCTTTTCTTCATGACGCAGTTGATGATTGCTTGAAGATGGTTGGAGTCCCAACTGCTACTCTCAAATAAACGAGACTGTAACAGCCATGACATGACTTCGCTTTCTTTTTCTTCTAATCGTTCTTTCATAGCCATAAATATTTCTGATGCAATCAGTTTGTTGAACACTCTGACTGACTGCTTTGGCTTCCCTCCCTTGTGTCCACTGGCTGAAAGATTCAACAGGACTTTCACACCTTGACTGAGCATGGCTTCCCAGTTCTTGCGCCGCAGCAAAAAGCCCTGCTGCGTGAACTCTCTGTGGCTTAGAACTGGTTTCTGCAGCAGTCTGTCCAGACATGACACTCGAATAGCTTTGAAATCTGGGTCATATGCATTTAAAAGTGATACAATCTTCAGCAACTTGACCTCTTTTTCATCAGTGATATCACAAGAAAACTCCTTGACAACTTTGCGGACATAGTCCTGGTTGAAATTTTCCCTCAAGATATTGAAGGATATGAGAAACTTTGGGTTCACATTTGCTTTGTCTTGGTTGTACAGTGAAGTGAGAGAATCATTCTTTTTTCTGAACCATTCCAGTTCTAATCTGGTTAGTTCCTGACGCAGTGCTATCTGCCTGTAGGTGAGCTGCTTTGGTAAAGTTGCCCTTCTCATACACATGATCAAGGTGCAGAATACATGGACAGTGTCATCCGTCTCCCTTGAAATCAATCGGGCCTTTCCTTCCAAAGCTCCTCTCAGTTGCATGGCCTTTTCTTCATCTTCATTGTCCATAAAAACCAAGAGCGGTTTTCTAGGGTTCTGCTCTTCATAACATCTGACTTCAACCAGCTGCTCACAAGTTTGATCTGTGATTTGCCGCACCACACAACAGCGGTACTCTCCCCTCAATTCCCATAGCACTTGCTTCGCGGAGGTAGTACCCCCTGCACCTGGCTGGTGAAATAAGAGAACAGTCTTTACTTTCTGATCCTCATCTTTGCCTTTGCCTTCCAGTGCTTCTTTCACAACTTTCATCAACTCATGATGAATGCTTCTTTCCAAAACTTGATCATTGAAGAAGAAATTCAACCAGTCTACCTGCTCACCCTTGTAAAAGCCCTCTTCCATTTCTTTCTTCTTCTTATCACTGTCTCCATCATCAAGGTCTGGATTAGAAGCTGATAAAACATCAAGATCAGACCAGTCATTTAGTTTTTTTTTTCTTACTTCAACAAGAGCACCTGTGGAACAAATCAAAGAGCACTGGCTTGCATCAGGCGGTATCACCACAGACTGAATTGTACCATTGACATGCTGCCAAGGCATTCCAATTACACAGCGATCTATCATGTCCTTTCTCTCCACTCTGTTTCTTGATAGAATTTGATCTTGCCACTCACAAGCAATTTGTTCACTCTCTGCCAACATAATCCACTGGTCAGGAAGCATTCCAAGTACTTCATCACATGCTTGGAGCATAGTCTCGTAGTTTTTTGAAAACAGGCAAAAAAGAACAATGATTCTATCTTTGCCACCACAACTGTCTATATAAAATCTAAGGGCTTCCACGAAAGATGGTCTTCTTTCCCGGTTCCATTCCGTCTGGCTCATATGCCTTAAATCCATCTCCTCATAGCCATCACAAAACAGCCAAGATATATTCCTGTCATTCGACAAACTATCAGTCAAGGTCTTCCTCTCTTCTTTGGTGGACTTGTTCTCATCAAAATTGTCCGTTGTTAAAACTCTGAGGAGCCCATCTTGCTCTGAATTCACATTAGCATAAATGCCCTTTGAGGACCCTTTTGGGTCAAAGTCAAGCACAATTTCAGGGTGGAGATCTTTGATGAACACTGTGTTTGCATCAAGAAATTTCTTATCCATGTGGTCATCAAGAGGACTGGTCACAAGAAAGGGAAAAACATCGTCTTCAATCATTGGGGCTCCACCTGTCAGTAAATTCAACAGCTTCCTCTTGAGATCAGGAATGTCAATGGGAGACTTTGAATCTTCTTCTTTTTTGCGCTGATTGATTGAGCGTTTCTGATCACGCTCATGATAGACATCCAAATCATCAGAGTCCTCAACTACAGGAAAGCCTTCATCACTGAACTTGAACAGTATCATTTTACATTTATGCTTTTTCTTCAACACATTTGAAAGCCACTTTAGATATGTCCAAACGGTGCTGCTCTCCACAACACTTAGACTGGGAACAACATCAATTTCAATAACAAACAAGTTAGCATTTGTTTCTTTCCTGGGGTCTATAACAGGGACAAACTTGGCCGACCTCACTGTATTATCAATGACTGTTTTTATGTTTTTGTGAAACGACTCTTCCAAAAATTGTGAAATTTCAGCCTCTACTTCTTCTTTCGGTAGGTTTATGCCTATGATTTCTCCAGCTTGACAGTACCCACACTCTTCAGAAGCTATACCAAAGTAAATGGTTCCATTCCTCCTCTCATTTAAGCAAGCTGATGCAAACTGCACAACCTCACAGCCAATATATTCCAAAGCATTATCTTTACTCTGGTCTTGTAGTGGATGGAAATTTCTTATTGACTCCAGCTTCTTTCCCCTTCTATTGACTGTAATATCCACACAGCGACCCTTGACATACTTGTCAGTCTTTTTCACAGGGCTGTCAAATGACCTGAAGTATTCTTGAACAACAGGTTTCTCAGGCGTAGCCAAAACTACTTTCTTTTCACTTTGAATGATTGTAATCAAAGTGTGACGTACTCCAAAATTGGCCGAAGGCAAAATTTCTTTGAGGGCTTCTTCAGACAAATCCAGGAAAATCTCCCCAGAGATTGATTCTCGCTCCAGGTCATCCAAAACACTCAGTGGCAAACCTTTGTCCTCCAACTTTTTCTTCAGAAATATTTTTAGGTCTGCTGGACTCATCTCACCAATGACTTGATCTTTAACTGAAACAGGAAAAATAAAGCACAAGGTCAGACAATCTGTACAAAATCAAATCAACTATCCAAAATTTTCTGCACATAATAATACGTAAATGATAAAATTTTAGGATTTTCTGTGACACTTTAGAACCAGAGGAAACAGCTTTTGAAGCACAATCTACCAAACTCTACTAAACCCTCTACTGACCACAGATTGGAAGAAAGAATACAGTGGAGCCCCCTTAAACCAAAGTCAAGACCGCCAGAATTTTTTCGGTTTAATCAGGTTTTTGCTTTAGAGAGGTTGCTCAAATAGCAGGAACAAAACTCAAGAGATTTTTTTTTTCAATTTCCACTGGCTTTGCATTAACTATGTTTAGATAAATGAGGTGTAAGCGCACCTTTAGAACAGGACATGTAGTGTGAACGCACCTTTATAATAGTTATTGTGATGTAGGCCTAAAGGACATATCACGTGACTGACACCTCATGTGATTTTGTGCAAGCCGCAGGTAATCTAAGTGTCACTCACTCACTGAAGCCGAAACGAGTAACATCGGCTAACCAAGAACTAGCAGATGACGAGCAGGTTGGGCCCCACCAACACCAACTACCATCTAGATCTACTACTGCAAGACTCAAGTAAGTCGTAACGTAACAATAAAGCAGACTCCACTGTACATATATGTCCCACTGTGACAATATGCTATCTCAGAATTACAAAGTTCAATCTGACATGCTATTTCGAGTGGCAAAGACCAGGAGGAGTGAAAACGAATGCTCTACCTGTTCCATCAAAATCATAAGATTAGTTGGAGTTGTTATCAAGACATTCAAAGAATTATATTCGAAAAAGTTTGACATGGGAAAACTAAACATTTTTAACGTAAAATTTCTAAAAACTAGGTACTGAGCAGATAAAACTTTGTAATTCTAAGGTAGCAAATTGCCAGACAATTTTTTTTCCTCCACTAAGCAAGTAATGTTTCCCATTTTTGGCACAATCAAATTACAAACACATTGGATAGAAACAACAGAAAACAACATTTTGTTGTTTAATAGGCTGTACATCTTCCTAGGGAATGGCAACAAATTAAGAATAAACAAACCTGCAAAGAGATTGAGGGTCAAGCCATATAAGCCTTCGGTTAGAACGAAATAAGACTTTACAGATTCATTTCACTGCATCCTTGGAGGTTTTCTGTCTTGGAAAAAGACTTTTCCATCCATATATGAGCCATTGTCAAAAGGCCCGCTTAAGTCATTCTTCAAGACACAATTTTTTTTTCTCCAGTTCGCCGGAATTTAATTTTTGAAAGGGCCCTGGTTTTGAAGGGGTTACATTTTCTAGACACAAAACACAAACAAGTTTTACTCAAACATGAATGTAGAATATATGTATAGTAATGTTTTACGTATTATTTAAGTACCTGTGATTTGTGGGGTGAAAAAATAAATGTTTTTGTCACGCACACTAGGAGTAAACGTTTTGTAATAATTACAAGTCCCAAACATTCTCAAAACCTGTTCCTTTCGCATCCAAATTTGGAATGAAATCAGATAAACAGCTGTACAAGTAGTGGTAAACAATACGATTGTTCTTTTAAAATCCCATCTCAAACGCATCATGTTGATGTAAAATGAGACATGTACATGTGAATCGACACTCCCATCTTGGCTCCGATACTTAAAAAGCTAAAAATTGTTATATATACCTACATTTTTAAATAGTCACTTTTACTTTTACGCTTTTCTGACATTATTGCAGTCTATAGTGGTTGGTTTTGTTTTGTTTTTCTCCTTTTTTTTTATAAGTTAAGGAGATTATCATACACAACAATTGCACAGGAAAGTAGGTCAATTTTTATTCTCTTACAATTAAAAACCCCCTCCTGGAACGGCCATGTTTGTTACTGATGATATAAAGGAAAAACAGAAATTTTTTAAAAGCAATAATAATTGCTGGGCTAGCAAGCATCAGTCACACTGAAATACCTGTACACAGTTGAATCTGCTCTAATGGCCACCCATGTAAGACATTCATCTGTACAAACAACCACTTCCTAACC